TCTGATGGTAACCTCCCCGTAAATCGATTTTCGAAAAAATCCGTGCTGTTCGCAGTTGGTCGATCAGTTCGTCGGCGCGGGGAATGGGGTACCGCGACTTGACTGTTACCCGGTTGAGGGCTCGGTAATCGATGCACATGCGAAACCCTCCGTCTTTTTTGGGCGTGAACAGTATCGGTGCGGCGAACGGTGACGAGCTCGGTCGGATGAATTTCTTCTCTAACATGTAATCTAACTACTTCCTTAGTTCGTCGAGCTCGGGTGTGTCAGTCTGAACTGGCGCTGTACAGTTGGCTGTGCCCCCGGTTCTAATTCTATTCGGTGGTCATGTGCTCGCTGAGGTGGCAGTCCTTCCAGTAAATCGTCGGGAAAAATCCCTGGGTATCGTTTGAACAGTTCCTGTAGTTCGGGCGGTACTGCTGCCAGCAGTTTCTTGAAATCACTCGGCTGCTCTGCTCCTTCTACTACTGCAATGTCTACTGCGTACACGTCAGCTCCAGCAGCGACAGCCCGTTTCATGGTGATGGCATTGACGTGCACCGTTGAAGACTCGGGCGACTGCCAGCGAGGTAGCTCGACCCAGTTACTGCTACTTCGCACCGTACAGCTACCCGTCGTCCAGTCAATTCGCGGGTTATACCGTCGCAGCCAATCATGTCCCAGTAAAATGTCGTGCCCATCCAGTGTCGTTGCGAGCATTTCCTGTGTAAACCCGAAATTCCCCCCCGCAGCGAACTTTGACTGTCTCCACCTTTTCCCGTATAGCTAGTGGCGTGCCGTCGACTAAGCGTGCGTCTATCTCAGGTAAACAACGGCTAAGTGTCAGTTGCATTTTTCGTGCGGTTGCGGTATTAACTAAACTGTGGCTTGCTCCTCCGTCGATAAAAATCTTCATTGCTGCTCCCTGTATTTTCCCGTGGATCAGTACTGGGCAATCCGTCGCTGTACCCTCCTTATTCGTCCGAGTCTGATCGATAGCATGAATCGGTACTGTGACTCGGTGAGGGTCAGTGGGGTTGGGCGAGCAGGCAGTCTCGTCAGTAGTTGGCCCGATTCCTACTGACTGCTGGCGTTTCCTTGCCTTGGAGACTCCCTCCCCTGCTCTGCTCCGCGGCGCCTTAGCTCCTCTGGGCATTCGCTCTTGCGATGGCCCGGCCTATTGCAAGCAAAGCAGCGCCCCTTAAACGGCGCGGCAGCTGCATTCGTCGCAACGGCGTGTACAGTGGCGTGCTCGATCGGTTCCCGAGGACGATGTCCGTAGTAGGACCCCGGTCTCGGACGGCGTAAAATGTCGATTTTCTCGGCGAGCGCGAGAATCTCGTTGAAGTTCGAGAGCCCGCGTAGCATGATTTCGTGCGAGATGTCCGGCTTCAGCCCTCCGACGTAACGGTCCACCCGCTCCGCTTCATGCATGTAGCCGACTTGCTCGCATAATGCGAGAAAACCACTCGTATAGTCTTGAACCGACCCGAGCTGCCGCCAAGTGCGCAATCTCTGACGCGCCGAAATAGAAGCCGCGATCGGCTCGAAGCGCGCCCGAAGCCCTGCGCACCACGCATCCCACGTGCTATATTGGGCGGTTTCGCAGAATGAACTCCAGGTGACAGCTGGACCCGTGAGCCCTTCCTCTTGCGACGGTGGCTCGTAGGCGCGTGGCGACGTCACGATGACTCGCCACCAGTCCATGGCGGGGCCCCTTAGCAGCGAAACGGCATACCGAATCTTCGCTGCGTCTGACTCGACGTAATTCGCGTCGAAGAAGACATTCATCGTGAAGACCCACGATTGAACCGTCGGACCTCCACGCTGGCTCGAGTCGAAGCAGGGCGGGCGTTGCGGCTTGAGTGGCATTGGTGCCATAATGGCCTGTTCGCCACTTGTCGCCGCAAACTCCACGTGCCGACGGGCTTCGCGAGGCTCGCGCGGGCTTGGTGCGACCCTGTTTCCTCCCATGCCAGGCATCGGCTGGGCGGCGCCATCACTGGCTGCGCCCGAGCGCTGTCCCACGCTGTTGTTTTGTGTTGGTGTGCCGGACGAGATGACGATCGGCTCGTCCGATTGTGCAGATGCATTTGTCGGTGCGTGTGGTGGCGCTGGAGTGTTCACCGTTGATTGCTGACGCGCGGAGTCACGTTCCGCCGTGAGCGTCGCAATTTCGAGCGCCGAATCTTCAAGTTGGCGCACCAGACGGTCGAGCTGCTCCTGCGTCAATGTGGCGAGCGTGAATTCGGCCATGGCGGGGGTGTCGGGCGAGCTCAGCGAGAGCCTCGGTCGTGGCTGTGCGTGCTTACGAGAGAGCACTACGAGCGGCGGTGCTGTGTCGCTGAGGGACGTCTACCCCCCCCAAAAATTGAGATAGTGAGGAAGCGAAGGTGTGGGTGCGGTCCGAGAAGGGATCGTAGGCTCTGATTACCAAGTGTTACGAGTGCAATTGAGTGAGCAAGCGAGAATTGCACTATCGAAGCAAGTGTACAATGAGCGAAGGCATGAGCTAAGAATATATAGCGAAACTACAGTGGTAACGGTAATGGACTGTGGTTGTCGCGTGACGGGCCTGGGACTGAGGTTGGGAAAAGTGTTGAAGCGGAGGCCCGGAGCGCGGGTTACCCGCCGAGCCGTGAGGTCGGGGTGCGACGTGCGAAGGTGGCGGGAGGATTGTCGATGCGAGAGTTGCGAGTGGTAACGGTGCTGACTGTGGTGCTACAGTGGTGTACGCGCTGAGAGGGGACGCGAAGTAAGGAAAAGGAATTTTCCTTGCACTTGTGATGCTGTTGTGAAGGTGACGGGAAGAAATGGAGAACTCAGTTCGGAAGGGAACGGTGGAAAGGAAATACAGTGTTTTGGAATATGGTTTGCATTTGTATGTATTTATGATTTATTTAATTATTTCTGTTTCAAAATGTCGGTGTTCAGCAAACATGCATCCAGCAAACTCTAATCAGGTTGATCTCCTGTAACGTTGTTTGTCCAAAAACAAATTCCCACAACCACCACTTTAGGCTCCGCAGCTCGGATAATCACTTTATTTGTTCAAGTCTATGTGGTTGACAGATGCTGCAGTTTTACTGCCTCCCTCTGTCTTTAATGGATACCTCGGCTTCGCCTCATTATGACTGTTCGACTTCAAGAATGCTGTTTGGGCACATCAAAACTATGTGTAGAACAAATGCTCACATCAGATGGAAGAGCGAGCTCAGCTACAGTAAACCACTGCTACTTCCTTGGCGCAATCCTGCAAGGATCAACAGGCGGGGAGGGAGATGGCAGGCAGCAATAACAAGTGAGAGACTGAGCACTTGTGCAGAATCCACAGCAGCTGCTAACGCGGTAATTAGAAGAAGTCTCTGCTGATACTTCAGAATTCCAAGCTGGAATGTGCAAGGGGAGGCTCTGAGGAGGGGAATGTACACACTTGCATTGCCACCTTCGAGTTGAACCCGAAAATTCCAAGTTGAAATGCGTAGTGAAAATGAACTGATATTTCCAATGCGTAGTGAAATGCGTCACGAGACTGACGTGCATAGTGCGTCACTCACTCCCTCACGTGCGTGACTGACATTTTACCACTCACGTGCGTCTCATCCCTCAAAGTGTCTCTTCCAGAGCTTCAGCAGCCCCAACCACAGGATCCATGGCTGCTTCTGCAGGAGCCTGACTTGGCACGACTAACGGATGGCCAAGACGAGAAGGATATTTTAGTTTTGAGGCGCCTCAAAACTAGAATGCTGGAGCCTGACTTGAGACGACTAACGGATGGCCAAAACGAGAAGGATATGGTATTCAATGTCAAATGCATCTGAGAGAGGAGAGGCGCACTTACGTGCGTTTGACCCCTCGAAGCGTCTCCTCCAGAGCTTCAGCCGCCCCGACCACAGGAGCCATGGTGGCTTCTACTGGAGCTTGACTTGACATGACCAATGGATGACCTAAAAGAGAAAGCAATCAGGCTCAAATGCATCTGAGAGAGGAGAGGCAAACTCACATGCGTTTGACCCCTCGAAGTGTCTCCTCCAGAGCTTCAGCCGCCCCCACCACAGGATCGCACCAATTGCCTTATGGGATGGCCTACAGAGAGTGAGAGAAAGTGGACTCACGAGCTTTTTACCCCTCGAAGCGTCTCCTCCAGAGCTTCAGCCGCCCCCACCACAGGAGCCATGACCGCTGCTGGGACTTGCCTTGACACGACCAATGCTCGACCTAAAAGAGAAAGCAATCAGGCTCAAATGCATCTGAGAGAAAGCAGACTCACGTGCGTTTCACTCCACGAAGTGTTTCCTCTAGAGCTTCAGCCGCCCCAACCACAGAAGCCATGGCTGCTGCTGGGATGCCTTTCACCACCGCCGCTGCCACTGCAGGCATTCCGTCCCCTCGCCTCCATTTCCTTAGCGGAGCACCTAATAACGAGGACAGGCTTCTTTCCACACTACGGTTCAGCACCTCTTGAGCTGCTGCCAAGGCTCCTACAGAAGAACACCCACTGCCACTACCAATACCACTGCCAAAGCCACCGCCAATACCGCTGCTGCTGCCACAGCCACCGCCACCGCCGCTGCTGCTGCTGCCGCTGCCACTGTCAGCAAACACAGTGACCCAGTATGAGCCTTCCTCGAAGCTTCCATGCTCCCCAAGCTCCCGCCAATCGCAAGGCGCCTTATCGCGGCTGCTGCTTCTTGCACGGGCGGATGGTGACGAGGAGGATGAGGAGAAAGCGAGTGAACGGGAGGAAGAAGAGGGGGAAGAGAAAGAACGGGCTGCAGATGGAGTGGAAGAGGAGGGAGTGATATGGTGGGATGTGGAGGAGGAGCTTGTAAGAGGAAGACGGGGACTGGCTGTAGCGGCTGTAGCAGGAGCAGCAGGGCCAGCTGTAGCGGTTGTAGCGGCATTTGTAGCAGCGAGGGCGAGCTCTGCTGCGTGCAGCAGGTGGTGTGTGCCGGCTGCCACTGTCACCCCCATGCCCAGCAGCTCATGAGAGAGCGATTGAAGGAAAAAGATGGCACCTGTCACAGGAGATAGCACAGGGGCACACGAATAGGGTGAGGGGCACAGAGAGGAGGGTGAGAGGAGCACCAAGAGCTTCTGCTGCGTGCAGCAGGTGGTGCGTGCAGCAGGTGGTGTGTGCCGGCTGCCACTGTCACCCCCACGCCCAGCAGCTCGTGGGAGAGCGACTGGAGGAAAAAGATGGCACCTGGTGGTGGGGGTGGTTAGGGGCAGAGAGGAGACTCGGAGGATGAGGTGAGTACCGAGCTGACTTTTGAGTGGACTTACCCCCAGCGTCGGGACATTGCAAGACTCACCACCTTCCACCCTTCCTCACCTCTCTTCACCCCTCGCATCAGCCTCTTGTTCTGCCTGTACTCCTGAACCGGCAGCAGCACCAGCTGTATTGAAGCAGCACCCAGCGCCCACAGGGGACTGACAGGCCCTACTGGTGACTTGAGCACTCAACACCATCCCACCGTTCCTCACCTCTCTTCACCCCTCGCATCAGCCTCTTGTTCTGCCTGTACTCCTGAACCGGCAGCAGCACCAGCTGTATAGAAGCAGCACCTAGGGCCCACAGGGGGCTGACAGGCCCAGCCGCCTTCACCACCCGATGCAGCTGGCGGCGACAGATGTCCTCCGCCCATTGGCTGATGAGCGCTCCCCCTAGCCCGTCCCACCCCTGCACGCCCACCACCCTGGCTTTCGTGAAATCGATTTCAACACCCTGCCATGAGGCGTTTACAAGAGAGATTAAAGAAGGAGCACATGGGAGGGAGGGAGGGAGGCAGAGGAGACATTAAATACAAGGGCCATTCGAGGAGATATTTAGCCATTGGCCAATGCGCGCCCCTGCTAGCCTACCCCGTCCCACCCCTGCACGCCCACCACTCTCGCCTCAGCGGAGTCAATCTCAACGCCCTGCTTTGGGGATGGGATGCGGTGTTTCCAAGGGAGACACAGAGAACGTGCAGAGGGGGGAAGGGGAGAAGCTGTGTCCTTCATCCATTGGCCCATGAGTGCTCCTCCTGTAATGAGGTTATTTTTGAGACGTCTCAAAAGTTCTCCTGTAATGAGGTTATTTTTGAGACGTCTCAAAAGTACTCCTCCTAGTCTGCCCCACCCCTGCACGCCCACCACTCTCGCCTTGGTGAAATCGATCTCAACGCCGTGGGGACAAGGGGAAAAAGGTAAGGCGGTGAAGGCGAGTGGGCTTTTGAGTCGACTCAAAAGTCATCTCGCCTTGGTGAAATCGATCTCAACGCCGTGGGGACAAGGGGAAAAAGGTAAGGCGGTGAAGGCGAGTGGGCTTTTGAGTCGACTCAAAAGTCATCTCGCCTTGGTGAAATCGATCTCAACGCCGTGAAGACAAGGGGAAAAAGGTAAGGCGGTGAAGGCGAGTGGGCTTTTGAGTCGACTCAAAAGTCATCTCGCCTTGGTGAAATTGATCTCAACGCCGTGGGGACAAGGGGAAAAAGGTAAGGCGGTGAAGGCGAGTGGGAAGGATGGTAGTAGAGGGAACACGAGGATGTTCACCCTTGGGACGTCTTAAAAGGTTCACACACACCCACCCACACGCACCCACCCACACGCACCCACCCACACGCACCCACCCACACGCACCCACACGCACCCACTCAACGCACCTTTCACGAGATGAGGTTGAGGACGTAAGCCTAGTTGCTGAAAAAACTTCGAGACGCCTCAAAAGTTGAAAAAACTTGAGACGCCGGCCAACACACGCACACTGCCATCGAACCACGTGCACATACCCCCCGAACCACACCCCCCCCCCCCCCGCCCCCTCCCCTCTTCCCTCCATTCGCACCTTCCATGAGATGAGGTTGAGGAGGTGAGCGTAGTTGCCGGCAGAAAGAGCTGATAGGTCCAAGCGACACATGCACCCGCCCACTCACCCACCCACACGCACACGCACGCACGCACCACACACCTTCCATGAGATGAGGTTGAGCAGGTGAGCGTAGTTGCCAGCAGAAAGAGCTGATAGGTCCAAGCGACGAGGCACGTAGTCGATCAAAACCGAGAAGGCCCGAATCTCACACACCTGGAGAATGAGGGGGGACGGGCAGAGGCGGGGAGAAGAAATATAAATTCTATATGATTGCCTTTTGCAAGCTGAGAGGTCTAGACGTCGAGGGACGTAGTCGATCAAGACTGAGAAGGCCCGAATCTCACACACCTGGAGAATGAGGGGGGACGGGAAGCGGGGCCGGGAGGATAATAGTCATCCTGAGTGTGTTAGCGTGTTGAGAGGTTGAGCAGGTGGGCATGGTTGCCCGTGGAAAGAGCTGAGCTGACAGGTTCTTGAGGAGCCTCATAAATCTTCTCAGGTGGGCCGTGGGCGTAGTTTCCCGTGGAAAGAGCTGACAGGTTCAAGTTTGAACTCGCGAGGCACATAGCCGATCAGGAGTGAGAAGGCCCGAATCTCACATACACCTGGCTGGCAGGTGGCGAGTGTGGGGAATGGGGTGGGAGGAGGTGAAAAAGAATGCAAATGGAGCGGAAAGAGGAAACCTGAGGGTATTGAGAGGAAATGGAAAAAGAACGGAACTTGGGAACATCTAAACTTGGAAAGAGCGGCTGCAAGAGGAACATGGATATATTCTGACCTGGAAGAATGGCAGCAAGGCATCTCGTAGGAGCTCTGCATCTGCCATCACCGGCAGTGCTGCTGCTGACGCTGATGCTGTTGATGCTGTTTCAAAGAAAAGAACCCGGATTGTCTGACCTGGACAAAGGTTAGAGTCTGACCTGGAAGAATGGCAGCAAGGCATCTCGTAAGAGCTCTGCATCTGCCATCACCGCCGGTGCTGCTGCTGATGCTGCTGCTGATGCTGATTCAGAGGCACAGGTACCAGCTGTAGCAGCACCGGCTGTAGAGAAGAAGCGTGAGAGGAATTCGATGTGGTTCTGATCGATGCGCAGGCGGATTGGCAGCAGAGCCACTGAGAGCCTGTAGAGCAGGGAAGAACGAGAGGGAGCAAAGGAAGTAAAGCAGAGAGGGAGTGAAGCGTGAGAGGAATTCGATGTGGTTCTGGTCGATGCGCAGGCGGATTGGCAGCAGAGCCACTGAGAGCCTGTAGAGAAGAACAGTGACGAAAGCACAGGAGACTACATTTGAGGCGCCCCACAACTAGCAAGGCCACCGAGAGCTTGTAGAGAAGAGCAAGCAGGAAAGAACAGGAGAGGGCAGCAGAAGGTCAGGAAAGCAAAGCGCCAAATTAAAGAAACCAAGGAGAGAGGACCGATTGAGAGGAGAGAGTGGAGCGTGGGAGTGTGGCACGCCGAATCATTCTCTCACAAACCTGAATTCGTCAATCTCCACCGTTGGATTGGGCCTGACAGCATCCAGCAGCAGTGCACCTCATTGCATTCATTACTTGAAACCCACCTCATGTCACGGAAAACAGAACCCACCTGAATTCGTCAATCTCCACCGTTGGATTGGGCCTGACAGCATCCAGCAGCAGCCGCAGAGCCTTGGATCGTACATCTGCAGCCTCCCTCCCATACGCCCCTCCCACCCTTGCCCACCTCCTGCGCCCCTGCTGCTGCCCCTGCCCATTCTGCCCCTGCCCTAGCCCCTGCTGTCCCTGCTGCAAGCCCCGGTCCCACACTCCTATCTCTCTCACTGTCACTGCCACACGTGATGTGTACACACTCTCACGTTTGCTGGTGTGCGTCGGTGCAGTGTGGCTGCTGGCTGGTGCAGAGTCTGCTGCAGTGGCAGCCGCATCAGCAGCTGCACTGGCAATACCATCAACAGCACTAGCAGCATCAGCACTATCATCAACAACACCAGCAGCAGGAGGCACTTGCAGCCTGTGTGGTTGAAACTTGTCTATTTGAACGTCCACTCCTCTCAATATCACCTCCATACACGGACCCTCCAATCTGAGCCTTGCTGCTGACTCAGCGGCAGCCGATGCTGACTCAGCAGCTGCCCATGCTGACTCAGCCCCACCAGCACCAGCACCCGCAGTACCAGTAGCACCAGGGGCAGCACAAAGGCCAACACACAAACCACTGTTAACAGCAGCACTACTTGACAAGAAATGCTGGCCAGAGCTCAATCTGCAGACGAGCGAGCAGTTTCTGAGAAGGATCCGGGCCTCAGAGGGGGGATAGGAGGCTGGGAGAGAGGAGGGCTTATGGCTGGGTCGAGAGGTGAAGGGAGCAGAGGGGGGAGGAGAAGAGGGGGAGGGAGAGGAATGGGAGGGAGAGGAGGGAGAGGGAGAGGAGGAGGGGGCACTGTGCGTGGCACTAGGGAGAGAGGAGGAGGAAGAGCAGCAGGAGGGAATGTTTTGGAGAGACGAGGGGGGGACCAAGGGAACGTGGTCTGGAACCAGCTGCCCGGAAATATCTTCAAGCCACGTGGCGTGATGCGATTGGTGGGCGCCGCCGCTGCTGCTGCTGCTGCTTCCAGTCTTGCCAACCTCCCGCCTCGATCTGTTGCTGTCGAGGTGACTATAAGGGGGGTGAAGATGTGCGTGAAATTGCCCAGAGGTGTTGCTGCTGCCACCAGTCTTGGCACCCTCACGACTCCATCTGTTGCTGCTGGGGCATCCCTCACCTTTCTGAATGTGACTATATCCCGCATGCTTCTCCCCGCCGCTCTCCACTTCCATCCAGGTCCATCCTTCATTATAGTCAACCTCGCTTCCAATTTCTCCTCCTGATTGCTCCGGTACTATCACATCCACCCACCCCCCTGCCTCCTCCTCAATAAGCCTCAGCCCAGCATCAATGCCAATCTTCCACCCGTTACTACCGATCGCATCCCTTCCCTCAACAGCAGCAGCAGCAGCGGCAGCAGCAGTGGCAGCAGAAGCAGCAGCGGCAGGAGGAGCAGCAGCAGCATCAGCCGCAGCATCAGCACCTTTTCTCTGCCCTCCCTCTCCTCTCTCCCCTCCCTGCCCTCCCTCCCCTCCCTCCCTTCCCTCCCCTCCCTGCCCTACATGCCCCCCTGCAACCCCACCTCCCCCATACACCCTACTGGTCACCCCCCCAGGGGGAACAACAGGCGCATCAGGGGGAAACACGAGCTGCACCTGCTGCCCTCCCTGCCCTCCCTGCCCTCCCTGCCCTCCCTGCCCTCCCTGCCCTCCCTGCCCTCCCTGCCCTCCCTGCCCTCCCTGCCCCGTCTGCCCCTCTACAACCCCTCCTCCCCCACACATTCTGCCTGTGACACCCCCAGGCGGAACGACAGGCGTATCAGGGGGAAACACGAGCTGCACCTGCTGTCCTCCCTGCCCTCCCTGCCCTCCCTGCCCTGTCTGCCCCTCTACGTCCTCCCCTCCCCCGTACACCCTGCTTGTGACCCCCCCAGGGGGAACAAGGGGAGCATCAGGGGGAAACACGAGCTGCACCTGCTGCCCCAGCCGCCCCAGCACCTGCATGCTGTCCTGACACGTGTCCACCTGCAATTGGGCGTTGCAGCAGATGATTTCCAGGTCGGGAGGTGACGTGGACCGAGCTGAGGAGGACGCAGAGCCCCTCCCTGCACCAGCAGCACCGATTGTAGCACCAGCAGCACCGATTGTAGCACCAGCAGCACCGGTTGTAGCACCAGCAGCACCGATTGTAGCACCAGCAGCACCGATTGTAGCACCAGCAGCACCGATTGTAGCACCAGCAGCACCGATTGTAGCACCAGCAGCACCGATTGTAGCACCAGTTGTAGCACCACCGGTTGTAACACCAGTTGTAGCACCACCGGTTGTAACACCAGTTGTAGCACCACCGGTTGTAACACCAGTTGTAGCACCACCGGTTGTAACACCAGTTGTAGCACCACCGGTTGTAACACCAGTTGTAGCACCACCGGTTGTAACACCAGTTGTAGCACCACCGGTTGTAACACCGGTTGTAGCAGCACCGGCTGTAGCAGCACCAGCTGTAGTAGCACCGGCTGTAGCAGCAGTTGTAGCACCACCGGCTTTAACACCGGCTCTTGCACCACCGGCTGTAGCACCAGTTGTAGCACCACCGGTTGTAACACCGGTTGTAGCAGCACCGGCTGTAGCAGCACCGGCTGTAGCAGCAGTTGTAGCACCACCGGTTTTAACACCGGCTATAGCACCACCGGCTGTAGCACCAGTTGTAGCACCACCGGTTGTAACACCGGCTGTAGCACCAGTTCTAGCACCACCAGCTGTAGCACCACCGGCTGTAGCAGCAGCAGTAGGACTTGAAGCAGCATGTGATGCGACGAGCTCCACTTGCACACTCGTTGCTGTGGCGATCTGGGATGAAGGGGTGAAAGGAACAAACCATATTATTTTAAGGTATACGATATAATAAGGTAGTGCAGTGTAGACTGTAGAATGACCTGGCTCGTCAGAGTCAGTGAGCATGTGAAACAAGAAATGAAACAGCAGGTGAAACCCGAAGTGAGACGGGAAATCAACGAACAAGTGAGTGACATCATCGGGTTTAAGAGCAAGTGAGCATTGAGGTTGGGGAGGGGAAGAAGAGAGGAGGGGATCTGGGGGAAAGGGAGAAAAAGATGGAGAAAAACTGCTTACTTGAGCAGAGAGATTACTGCAGTAGGCCTGTAGCCAAAGAGATCTGTACACGTGCTGCTGCTTCCTGAGCGGTCGGAGCTGCTGTGAGTCCAGTTTGTAATGCCGCTGCTGGTGCATGCGCTGCTGCTCCCTGGGCCACCCACCCTCCGTGGGTGATGTAGCAGGGACTTTTTGTCCTTTGAGGCGCCTCAAAAGTTGTCCAGGGAAGGGCAGGCAGCAGCGGCTCACAGGCAGCACGCTAACAGTCAGGTCGCTCAGGTGCAGACCGGCTTGGACGAGCGGAGGAGCGAGAGGTGGAGGGCAGGTGGCTGGCTGTGGTGGTGCTGCTGCTCTTGATGCTGCTGGTGTTCCCGCTGCTGCTGCTGCTGCTGAAGCAGAGGGTGCTGTGGGATTCACGTCTGCAACTAACCGAATCGCTGTGACTCCACCAAACAGGCACGCAGCATACGACGCAGCTACCCTCTGGCCCGGCACCGCCCAAACCTCCTGCCTAGGCTCGGGCCACGCCTCACCCCGAGGCTCGTACCACAGACCAGCATCCATCAGATCTGCCACCACGCGCAATCCTGGTGGACATATACTTGGCTCTGCCTGTTCGTGCGCATTACTTGCCTGTCTTTGCACCCCTGCCGCCGCTGCTGCTGATGCTGCCCCAGGAGGATCGACTGGTGAAGGTTCCATCTGTGCTGAATGCTCATGAGCTCTCTGCCTGCTTCTGTCTCTGCTTCTGCTTGTGCCTCGCTGGGAATCCTGTTCCCTCCCTCCTGCCCTTACCTGCAAGGGCCCTCCCTGGCCCGCAAACTGCTGCACCCGCCGCTGCTGCTGCTTCTGCTGCCGCGCCGGGTTGATCCACAGATCTGACTTTTGAGTCGCCTCAAAAGTCCACAGATCCCCTTGCTCGCTACCACGATCACAACCACCAACAGCACCTGACACAGCGGATACCAGTTTGTCACTCCCACCAACACCCACAGCCCTTACTCTAAGAGGCGCCTCACAGCGCCCGTTTTCCCCTGCAGCAGCGGAACCAGCAGCAGTAGAAGCAGCAGAGGCAGCAACAACAGCTGGCCTTTGTTGTGGAGGAAGCAGGGTAGAGAGAGGAAGAAAAAAGTCCCACCTGCCACCTGGCAACTCTGCTGTCAATCCCCTCACACACACATACACCAATCCCTCACTCTCTCTGCCCTCCTCACTTCCCCTCACCCCCTCACCTCCACCCTCCCCTCCCTGGCTCACTCTCTCCTTTCCTCTCTCCACCCCCCTTTTCTTCCCCCCACCTGACAAACTTCCAGCCGTGACTGAAGCTTCCTGGCACCTTCCTGGCCACTGCACCAGCAGCAGGCACACCCCTGCCTCTCCCCTCTCCAGCGGGTTTCCCCCTGGAGCTCCGCTGCCCCGACCAATGGCGTCCTGCCACGTGGACAGCACTGGCAACTCCTGCTCTCGCCTTAACCTAGTAAAAGGGCTGCTAGTGAGCTTGTTTGCTGCCAAATTAGGTGCTGAGGAAGCTTGTATCGAATCAGGGGCTTGTACAGAGTCGCAAGCTTCTATCGACAGCCTATGACCATGCTGCTGCTCCCCATACCCCCACCAATCACTGCACGCCGCCCAGACCGTCGCTTCCCCGTGCCGCAGCATCAGGAACCGTGCGCTAGGGTTACCAGCCAAGCTGCTGACGTGGCACAATTTGATTCGCTGGAGGCACAGGCGCAGGGAGGACCAGCCTTGGCCCCATACAGGCTTGGAGTAAGGGCCAAGGATTCGGGGTGAAGCAGCAGCAGTAGCAGTAGGAGCAGCAGGAGCAGGAGCAGGAGCAGGAGCAGGAGCGGCAGCAGCAGCAGTGGTAGCGGCAGGAACAGAAGGGAATGGAAATGAATAGGAGGAAGAAGTATGTACAGCTGTGTCCTCCTGTTGTTGCTGCTGCTGCCACTGCTGCTGCTGAAGCATGCCTGTAGGAGGAACCACAGCGTCTGCTTCAAAGACCGGTCGAGGCTCAAACAAGAGCTCAGCTTGGAAGAGGCCCACGTCCAGGTCAAAAAACACTGGTTGATGGACTGGCGGTGATGGTGGTGATGGTTGTGCCTCCCCTCTCGTCATCCCTTGAGGCGCCTCAAAAGTCGTCCCTCTCCTCTCTCCTTTCAAAGTCAAAGAACTAGGATCCACAGCCTTCTGGATCCACGTCAGCGTATCGTGGACCATTGCCACGTCAGCAGGGTCCATCGCCAGCGCCACGTCACCCACCCTGACCGCCACATCAGCACCAGCGCTCTCTCTCACTGCTCCCACTACTATTCTCTCCTGCTCCTCCTCCCCCTCCCTCTCTCTATCAGTCACAGCAGCTGCAGTCACAAACTCCCCGTTGCCGCCCACTGTCACTCCCCGCCCGCCCTCACCTCGTCCCGCTTGTCTTTTCCGCACATACTGCCAAAGCTTGTGAGCTGCATTAATCCTGGATGGCCCAAAAGGGCTGCTGCTGCTGCTGCTTCTCTTTTTTATGATTACCGTAACTGCCGCACCAGGCTCGTGCTGATGGTACTGCTGCTCCTGCTCGTGCTGATGGTGGTTTTGTTTATGATGGTGATTATAGTGGTGGTGGTTATGGTGCTGGTTTTGGTGGTAGTGGTTGTTGTGGTTCTGGTGATTATGGTGGTGGTGGCGTTGCTGCGTTGGTTCAAAATGGAGCTGACCCAATGCCTCAGACACCCTCCTGTTGTAACCTGTTACCCCTTGCTCCTCACTTCCCCTGGTGCTGCTTCTTAAATGCTGCTGACATCCGGATTCAGAAGCAGTGACAGAAGAGGAAGCAGCGGCACAGACAGATGAAGAAGCAGAGACAGAGAGCAGAGACTGTAACTGGACACGGCACAGGCACTCCCTTTCTTGGCAATCTCTTTCCACGTGTTTGCTTCCTTTCCTGCTGCTGCTGCTTCTGCTGGTATGCCTACTGCTGTTATCGTTGCCTGGATAATTGCAATCTTGTGGTGGAATAACCGTCAGGGAATGCACAGTCACATGCCGCAATGAGCAGCTGACCAGAGAAGACGCCAGGTAGGCAGATGGTGCTGCTGCTGCTGCTGCTGCTGCTGCTGCTACTGCTTCTGCTGCTGCTGCTTCTGCTGCTGACGATGATGATGGCGGTGGCGGTGGTGGTGCTGTTGCTTCTTCTGCTGACGATGGCGGTAATTGCGATGATGATGATAGGTGGAAGCCATGGAAGTCAGCGACAAGCCCGTGATCACTGCCAACACATGCAAGTGATTCCTGTGCATCTGCAGGCTGTAGCGGCCCCGGCTGTAGCGGCCCCGGCTGTAGCACCCATGGCTGTAGCCCACGTGAATGCTGCACCTGTTGTGCCTGAGACGGCTGTAGCTGGGAGGGAGAAGCAGTGAGGACGAGGCGAAGGCAGGTGATGTCAAAGCAGAGAGAGATACTGCTGATGCGGGCAGAGGAAGAAGCATCGTCAGGAGAAGAAGCATCGTCAGCAGCAGAGTTTCTCTTTGAGTTTCTCTTTGAGGTTCTAAAAAGTGGATCAGCATTCGCTTCTCGGTTTGATTCCTGCTGCTGCCACGAGTAGTCTTTTTGGTGCTGGAATAGCAGGTGCTGCTGCTGCTGCTTCCCCTCTCGGTGCTGCGGCTGCTGCCACTCTTGCTGCTGCTGCCACTCCTGATGCTGGTCTCGCTGCTTTCTTTCCACCGCTCCGGCATCCTCTGTATTGTCAGCCCCGTTACAGTGCACGTCGCCCAGCTCAGCAATCAAGCTTGATATGAAGGCGAGGGAGTGTGGCTCCACCCACACCACACACGGCTGCACACTCACATCTACATGCACACATGCCGACACACTCACATCCAGATGCCTCACATTTCCATGCATGCACGAGTGCACGTCCACATCCCTCCGTGCATGCTCGCATGCTCTGGGGTCATGTTCATCATGTGCATGCTCGTGCTTGCAGCTTTGGGAGGCCACCACTCGAACTGCTGGCTGCACACTGCTGCTGCTGTTGCTGTGGCTGCTCCTAATGTTGCTGCTGCCCCTCCTGCTGTCCCCACTACTGTTACTGCTGCTGCTGCTGCTGCTGCTGCTGCTGCTGCTGCTGCCGGCTATTGCTGCGTCAATGGTCTTGCCTTTCCGCCCATTTGCCCTTGCATCTGATGCTACAGCAGCTGACGGTGCAGGCGAATCGGCTAATGAGGAAATCTGAAAGAGCTTCACAGGACTGCAGATAGAACACATGTGAGGGTGCTTCCGAGAACGCTCAAAACTCCCACACACATGGGCGTGGCCGCAGAGTGTGGATGCAGGAGCGAACTGACGGGCAGAAGTGGAGGAGGAGGAGAGGGAGGGAGCGGGGAGAGAAAGCGGCAGGAACTTTGTCACATGCTCCCACTGAGCGTGATTTCTGTACAGCTGCCACTCGCATGTGCTTAATCCCCCACATTCCATGTGATCCCTGTACAGCTGGCTCTCGCCTGTTCCAGTATAGCTGCCTGAGCCCCCACAGTCCGCATGATCTCTGTACAGTTCGTGCTTGCACCAGCACACTCCTCCCCGTTCTACTCTACTCCTGTACATCTTACAGCAGCCGCTGCAGCAACGCCCCCTAGTGGTTGCTGCACTGGCAGCAGCGGCAGCAGCACTGTCTGTAGCGGCTGTAGCTGCTGCTGCCGCCGCTGCTGCTGCCCCTGCTTCTGAGGTGACTGATGCTGGTGGTGCTGCAAATGATGAGGCGAATGGGCGTGAATGGGTTCCAACCGAACATGAGGGATGGAAGGAAAGCGTGCTGCTGCTGATGAACAGCTCTTTGTGGTGATGAGATTCGCCTGCAGAGACCTGGAGGGATGGAGAGGAGGGAGGAATGAGGAGCGGGAAGAAAGAGGGAGATATGCTGAGAAGGGAGCTGTGAAGAGGAGGGGGAGGGGACATGAAAGGGGACCTTCAAAAGGAAACGTGGGAAAGAAGGAGCACGTTCTTGTAAAAGCAAAAAAAAAGATTAGTCATCGAGCACTCTCCTCTCACCTCCTGTGACGCTTGCAGCCCCTCCAATGTCAGAATCAGCGCTCCAGATCTTCCACCCCCACCAACACAGATTCTAGAAGAAGAAGGAAAAGCAGCAGTTTCACCATCACAGCTTCCCTTGGGTGAGTGTGTCAGGGAGATGGTTATGCAGGGGATACTGAAGGAAAGAGAGAGTAGGGGCTGAGAAGGCTCTGCTCGGTTGGGAGGGGGGGGGGGGACACAAAGGAATGTGGAATAGATTGTAAGAACCATAGGAACGCACTCTATAAGAAGGGAATTGAGCCTGAGAGCACAAACCATGGTGGTGCAAAGAGGGCCACAACAAAAAAAAAGGAGGGCACTGAATTCAACTTTTAAGAGCCTCTAAAACCGTCTAAAGCATGCTGACGCAAAAGAAAGTGGAGGTTTTGGACGGCTATTACTAGGTGGGGAAAGAGGGGAGTACAGGCGAACATGGGACAGGCAACGTCAGTGCTAGTGATAGTGCTAGTGATGCAGAGACAGCCGTGGCATGATCAGCAGCGGGGAGCATGCCAGCTGCCAATGCAGAGGTGGCAGAGACAGCTGAGGATGCAGCAGCAGCACTAATCGCACAGAATCGTTAACTTACCTGCCAGTGCTAGGGATGCAGAGACAGCCGAGGATGCAGCAGCAGCAGGTGGATGTCCAGCTGCCAGTGCTGACGTGGCAGAGACTGCCGAGACTGCTGCATGTGCCCAGGACCAGAGGGAGGAAGGTGCGGATGAGGAGGAGGGGGACGAAGGGTGGAAATCGGGACTTTCTGCAGCACCAGCAAGCTCAGCACGTGGGAAGAAGGAATCGAGAAGATTGGTAGGTGCAGCGGCAGTGGTGGCGGTGGTGGCGGCAGCTGCAGCGGCAGCGGCAGCAGCAGCGGCAGCGGCAGCAGCAGCGGCAGCAGCAGCGGCAGCGGCAGCGGCAGGGGAATGAGGAGGAGGAGAGGCGGGGAGAGATGAGGTTGGTGCAGATGAATTTGTGGAGGAATGGAGCGAGGGGGAAAGGGAGGAGGAGAGGAAGATGGCAGAATCGAGGCAGTCGAAGAACTCAGTCATGCTGGTAATAAAGGAAGGGGGACGGGGATCAGAAGGAAAGGTTGGTAGAGGAATGCAGTGAGGCAGAGAGGGAGGAGGTGAGGGAGGAGGAGAGGAACATGGCAGAATCGAGGCAGTCGAAGAACTCACTCATGCTGGGAAGGGGATGGGGAAGAGGATGGGGAAAGAGATGGGGGAGGGGACAACGGGAAGAGGATGGGGAATGGGGATGGGGGACGGGAATGGAGAGGAGCATGGCAGAATCGAGGCAGTCGAAGAACTCACTCTTGCTGCGAAGGGGATGGGGAGGGGGAAAGGGAAGGGGATGGGCAAACGGGAAGGGATGGAAAAGGGGATGGGTCAATGACTGGCAAAAATGTGGAGCCCAGAACGCGCACGAGCCCTCCCACAGCATAGCAGCCCTCTTGCATTTGGCTGCACCAAACTTGCAGAATGGGTCTAATAACTCGCAAAAAGTGGTGCGGTGCCCGGAACGCGAACTCGCACGAGCCCTCCCACCCACAGCAGCCCTCTTGCATTTGGCTGCACCGAAGTTTCAGGAGATTTCAACGGAACCCACCTGGCCTCCATGTCAGCTGCCTCCTCCTCTGCTCGCTGATTTGCTCGTCGCCTCTCCTCCTTGACCCGCCTCTTCTCCACCAGCCTTTGCCCCAACCAGTCCTCCACGTAATTATCAGCCCACACTGCTGCTGCTTTTTGGGGTAGTGCAGTTGCCAATGCTTGTGATATTGCTGCTGCTGCTGCTGCTGCTGCTGCTGCTGATGGTGTCTGTATTGCTGCTGTTCGTGCTGCTGCTACCGCTGCTGACGATCTTGCTGATGATGATGCTGCTGCCTCTTCCCCCTCATCCCCCTCGTCTCCCCTCACACTCCTCACTCCTCTGACTGCAAGACCCTCACCACTCCCATCCTCCCTCGCAACCCTTTCCTCTTCTCCTTCTTCCCTTTCTTCCTCTTCCTCCCGTCCCTCCTCCCCTCCTTCCTCCCCTCTAAGCCTCCCCAGCACCTCAAGCACGCCCTTCACTAGAGTCACATCCGCTTGAATCACCACAGGCGACAGCTGCACAGCCACAGCCACCACAGGCCCTTCCCCCTGTCTCATTCCATCCCTTCTTATTCCCAAATCCCTTCCATTCTGGGGAGCTCCCTCCCTGTCCCGGCTCCATCCCAAGCCCTCGCTCTCCATGCTCGAGCTCTCCATGCTCTGTCTTCTTGGGTCTCGCCTTGTGGGCACGGGAAGTCCGAGGGTCATCCTCACTCGCCCACTCACTCCTCCCAGCAAGAAACACTCACTCTCACACTCACTCTCACACTCACTCTCACTCTTGCGCCCACTCTCTCCCTCACTCTCACTCTCTCTGCTGCCAGGTGCATCATACGCTGACACCGCCTCGCTCCTCCCTTCTCTTGCAAACCCCCTCCCGCTGAATCTCTCCTGAGTCTCCTCTTCCCCATGCCTTCTACTCTCTCGCTCTCTGAGATGCCTTGGCTGTGAGGCTGCTGCAGGTCCGCCAATCACAACCCTCTCCACTCCTGGGACTGACTCTCTGATAAACCCTGTACCCGTTGGCTGGCACATGGCTGAATTATCCTCGTTAAGAGCAGACCCCATAACAGACTGGAACGTTGAGGAGTATAAATCCTCGTTACTGGCTTCTTCAGTAGCATCCACGAAAACAGATTGCTGCCCGTCCAGTACACTTGCGTACATGCTAGAAGCTGCTTCAGTAAAAACATCATTCCTGAAATCCTCCTCCCTTGCTCCATCCTCATCCTCGCCCTTCCATGCACCCCTCCTCTCACTCCCTTCACCCCCACACTCCCAACACCCCACTAGACCCATTCTTACCCCACTAAACCGCACCTCCTTAGGCCCACCTCCCAGCACCATATGCGCCACCCCTCCCTTCGAACCACCATCGGCACCAGCACCACTCCCCACCACACCTCCTACACGCCCCACACCTGCTGCGCCTCTCTCCTCCTCCCCTCTCCTCCTCCAACCACCTGAATCGCTTCTCCTGTTCTTTCCTCCCCCATACCCGTTCCCACTTCTCCGCTCTCCTCCCTGCCCTTCTCTCCCCACCTGCACCTCATTACAAACGTCTGGACCTGCCGAACCAAGCCCTAGCTCTTCTTGTGCTGCCGGGCCATATGCTAACTCATCCAGGCAAAACACAACTCCCTTGCAGTCACTCCAATCGCCTACCCCAGACCTAATCCCGTTACAGTCACCTCCATTACAAGCCCCTGCTCCTGCCGGGTCAAACTGGGTTGTTCCGTTGTCAAGCACGATGTGAACCTGTACATGTGTTACAGACACTTGTAACCGTTGTAACACCTTCTCTACCAGCCCTGCTACGAGCTGTATCCCCCCTTGGAAGCCCGGAAAGCTCCCCCAACCCCCATTTGTCATCCCCTCCATACCCTCCTCTCTCTCCTCTTCTTCCTCCTCTTCCTCCTCTTCCCCGTCTTCCTCCTCTTCCTCCTCCTCCTCCTCTCCCTGCTCATCCTCTTCCGTCTCACTCCCCTTGTTAGTTCCTCCTCTCTCACCTCCACTATTTCTCAGACTGACTCCACTCTCCCCCACGCCTTCCTCCCTAACCCCTTTCCCCAACTTCCCTCCTTCCCTGCCTTCTCTCGCTCCTGATTGGCCAGGAGGAGACACCACCGCTACCAGGGTGAGCCCATCTAGGTTGACTGTACACGGCTGGTCCAATGACGAGAGTGTGACTATAGGGAGCGACGCGGAGAGCTTTTCCACGTGGCCTGAAACGAATCGGACGGTTGGAAGGGCCTGGTTGGGCTTGTTCTGGAAACTTCCAGGAACGCCCGATCTTGCTGCTGCTGCTGCAGTTGAAGCTACTCCGTTGGCTGCTGCCGCCCCGTTCCCGTTGTTCTCAAGCTGCCCAAACAAAACGAGTGAGGGAGGTGGAAGAGAGAAGCGAGCATTCATAAGCAAACCTCGAGACCGATATATGCTGCCGTAGAGGTTGGCACGGAATTGGGGTTCATGACGGGTCATGATACCTCGTAATACCTTATGAGAGGTGCGAAGAAGCAGCGTTTGGGTGTGCGGAAACTCTTACAGGAACTTGAGGCGTGGGTAACAATCATATTGAGACGCAGCAAAGTGGTATTTAATCAGGATAACTTCGTCTGGAAGACGCACCAAGGAGTTGAGATATTCCGTGTTCAGGCGGAGACCGGAGAGGTGGACTGACGCCGACCCCAGATGAACCTCGATCTGCTCGTGGCTCAGATCGGTCTCCAGGAACCGACCCAGCAGGCGACCCAAAATGAACCGAGCCAACCGGCGGGTCGCCCAACGAGGCAGCATAGCGGCGGAATTCCAGAAATGAGTTGCTAGTATTCTCTACAAAATCGTGAAGCCAGGCTTTAAAAAGAGTCTCATAAAGAAAAGGAAAGCGAAAAGAGTCTCAAAGAGGAAATAAACTGTTAAATTCTGTACAGGCAGCTTCGTAGTAGCTTAGTTACTGCTTTGCCAAAATCGTAGAGGCGTAATATAGTCGTGCTATTCCGTCCCTATTACAAGGACAAGGCTACGAGATGAACGGTCTCAAGTATTCGCTGGTCCAGCTAATATTTGGAAAGAAACCACAATGTGTAGTTCTCACCAACGAAGTGCGTTCTCGCTGGTTCTCTCTTCCAAAATGAGGAGGGATAAGGACGGCTATGACTAACTGCAAAAGCTGGGATATCAAGAGTGCTATGCTAACTAAGGCTGAATAAGGACGGTTATGACTAGCTGCAAAAGCTGGGGGAAGTGCAAGGCACTTGGAAATCTTGTTAACTAAGCAAATACCTCGAGACGATAGTTTGATAGTGGTTTAGTACGTTTGACTGCGCTTTCAAACGATTCATAATAGTTCAAGCAGGGGAAATCTGTGCAAAAGTAAGCACTAGGACAAGCAGCTGTGTTATTGGCAAAGAAAGCGGCATCGACACGGCATCCATTCACACATGAACCGCTGATCTCGTACGGTACAACCTATCAGTTGCTGCTGTGTCGATTGAGATGTTCTCGAGGGGTTCTGAAGAAGAGTTGAGACGACACGCGATGACTCAGCAGCACATCGGACGGAGTGTCCATCGGAGAGGCATCTCCTGCAACCTTGCAAAAACCGAACGTACCAGATAGGCGAGTCGTTCCCCCTTGAGGACGTCATACTGCACCATCCGTTTGGGTTTGTTGCGATTGGCGCTTGCGAAATTATCGAGTGTCATAACTGGTTGCTTCATGTTCTTCCAGTTCGCAAAAGCTAGCCGTGAGGCCAATGAACGAGCAGCATCCAATTTCATGCCCAAGTCAAACTGCCCATGCACCTCTCACCTGTAATCCTCACTAAAGTGTGATACTGTAACCTACTCCCTTGATGAAAGCCTCCCTTGATGAAAGCTTTCACCTTCTCCAGCCAATACAGTATGTCTGTCAGCAGTCAGAGCACTCTGACACCAATCCAATTCGCAAGAACTCAGTCTTTTCCAAATTTGCTAGTTGCTGAAATAGTTATCCCTCTTAGAATGCACGCGTACTCTGTCTCAGGCTTACTTAGAACCATCTGTTGAGCGAATCTACAGGATTACCTCTGTTAGAGTTGGATCTCAGTTGTAAACCTGTCAGCGGATCCACAGCCTCCACTCTCAGTAACTTCTCCGTCACTTATCTCAACCTTGCAACAAATTCTTGTGTGATCACGAAAGACAGCTCTCTTTCTGCCTGATATTCCATAGAAGGGGTTTCAGTCGTCCCAAACTAGCAGGGAGCGTTAGGACATCGATGTTGACTGCCTGCCGGCCTGATCTCCTTGACTGATTGTGAATGGTTCCGCTTTAGACACGCTTATTTGCTTCACGAAACCCCAGCTGGCGGCATGGATTCGACATTGCTGCTGCTGTTCGCTTACGTGGCTTTGCTGGGTTTCGTGCTATTTGTCCTGCTGTTTGGGGAATCGACCTCGTTCGATGGCACCGTTATAAGCTCCGCGCATTACTGGATCACGTCAGGGATCTTCGAAATTCCATTGTAGGTTCATTCTCCTCGTGTATCACCCCTTGCTGACCATTCAAGTTGGATTATTATCGTCAAAATAGAAGAACCCTGCATGTGTAACGTTGTCGTCGCGTTACAGCTGCACAACATCCGCTCTACCCCGTGTCATCTCTCCGTACAGTTACCTTCTCGGTTTCTTCTTTGGCGAAAGAGGCGAACGAGCCGGAGACGTCATCTTCCAATTCTGCTGCGAGCAGCGAAACCCTCTTTTCCAGGTTCGTATTTTGCCAGAGCTCCTAGTCCTGGTGCCTTGGCCAAGAATCAGAATGGCAGTTCGTGTGGATCTGATTATTTCATGCATGTTTGTCAACTGAAAGTACCCCAGCGGATTAAAAGAACCTGTTTTGTCTTTTTGCACACGTCCCACTGTTCCACTGCAGATTCTCTATCTTATCCTGGTGATCGGACTCTACTGCTCCTTCCAATTCCACTGCAGATTCTCTATCTCTCTCTCTCTCTCTCTCTCTCTCTCTCTCTCTCTCTCTCTCTCTCTCTCTCTCTCTCTCCCTCCCTTTCCCCTCTCTCTCCCTCCCTTTCCCCTCTCTCTCCTACTTGGCATCCTCTCCTTGCCCTTCCACAGATCATCTACCTCGTCCTGGAGATAAGAGGCTACTACGCCTTTCACGTCTACTGCACGGATCCCACGGTTCCACAATCTCACTCTCTCTCGCGCTCCCACTCTGTGCCGTTCCCTTGCCCCACCACAGCTCATCTACCTTGTGCTGGTGATCGGAGGCTACTACGCCTTCCACATCTACTGCATGGATTTCATCCCCGGACCCTACCTCTCCGCCGTCCACAGGTACTCCTCTCTCTTCTCCTGCATCGTGCATCCCTCCACCTGCATTGGTGTTACTTTTGAGAATTCTCAAAAGCTTCATCCCCGGACTCTACCTCTCCATCATCCACAGGTACACGCCTCCTGCATCGTGCACCCCTCCACTTTCCTCTTGCCACCCACCTCCTCCCACCTCCTCCCACCTCCTCCCACCTCCTCCCACCTCCTCCCTCCCTTAACCTAAAACCCTCAGGTACACATCAATTGCATCGTGCATCCCTTCTGACACCACCTTCCACCTGCAACCCTCTCTCCCCACCCGCCTCTCCACCTCTCATGTACCTGCTGCACCTGCTGCATCCCTCGTTGCAGCTCCCACAACCCCCAGTTCTCAAACCCCTCCCCTGCTCTCCTCTTCATCATTCCCCTCCCCTCTGCACCACCGCGCTCCCTCGTTTCCCCCCTCTCCACCTTCTCAGGTACACGGCACCTGCATCCCTCATTGCAGTGCTCACAACCTTCCTTATAGCGAGTATATCCGACCCCGGTACAGTCACACCCGCTACAGTGCAGCAGACCCAGGCAGTGTTTCCATATGATGGAGTCATCTACACCAAACGCATCTGCTCCTCCTGCAAGATACCCAGGTATGTGGAAGGTAACTGATTTTCTAAAATTCTCTTTTGAGAATTTTGAGAATTCTCAAAAGTCATCTGCTCCTCCTGCAAGATACCCAGGTGTGTGGAAGGTAACTGAGCTGGCTTTTGAGTCGACTCAAAAGTCCCTTGCAAGATACCCAGGCATGTGGAACGTAACTGGCGCACTAATGAATGTTAGTCTAGACTGCTAAAGAAAATAATGGCAAAAAGAGAGCAAATCGAAGGAAGGGAAGTCAAGCCTTTTTTCCTTCCCCCCCGTCTTCCCCTCTCTCGCCAGCACGAACCAATCCCCTCACTTCCTCCCTTTTCCCCGTCTTCCCCGCTCAGGCCAGCACGAGCCAAGCACTGCCGGGTGTGCAACCGTTGCATCTCCAGATTTGATCACCACTGCGCATGGGTGGTGAGCGGTGCTGCGGGGTGCTGAGTGGTGCTTTTGGGTGGTGGTTCATGCTGTGTGCTGAGTGGTGCTCCTGTGTGGTGAGTGGTACTGTTTCTCTCTCTCTCGCTCGCATTCGTTGTCACCTGCGCATCAGGATGACTGCATCAGGTAACAACTGCCTTCCTGGATGGCATTCCTTATCTTCTCCCATTGGGAAAAATCGTTTCATTGTGGCACCTGGACCCCCCCGCCCCTAATCCATCCCCCCCTTCTCTCTTATTTGCTATCAGAACAACTGCGTTGGGGAAAGCAACCTTCGCTTCTTCCTGCTCTTCCTCTTTGCGTGAGTGTGGGGTTGGGAGGGGGGAGCGGGGAGGAGAGCGGGGAGGGGAGTGGGAAGGGGAGTGAGGACGGGAGTGGGGAGGAACGATGGGATGGGGGTCTCTCATGTGCGCTCAGCTTTTGAGTCATCTTATAAGAACTCACCTTCCTTTTCACCTCATCCCCTTCCTCCCTCTCTTTCCTCTTCCCCAAAGCATTTGCTTTCTGGTGTACAGTACAGTGTGTTTGGCGTGTGCTCTATCCTGACTCATTTGACGTTCCCTTAACCAACCAACCCCTCCCCCCCACCAACCTCCACTCTCTCCCCTCCCCTCCACGTCTCCACGCTCCTCCCTGCAACATATGCTTTCTGGGGTATGGTGTGTGCTCTATTTGCTGAACTAACATGGCCTTAACCCAACTTCCCTTATTGTCTTCCCCCTCTCCCGCCTCCTCTCCACGTCACACATTCCTCATCTCAGTAACATCTGCTTTCTGGCGTATGGTGTGTTTGGCGTGTGCTCTATCCTGGCTGGTGAAATCACTCGCAGCAAGGTCATCGCTGCCATCATAGGTACGCCAGGCCATGCCGTGCCGTCCAGTATGCCTGCCCATGCGGTACCATCATATGTACACCAGGCCATGCCATGCTGTTCACGTTTTGAGGCGCATTGAACAAGCGCAGCTGTAAAAAAATGAAGAAAAAAATGCAACTGATTTATTGCTGCCACCCTAGTTATTTTAGGTTATGCCGCTTGTTGTTCTCGCTTCATGCTTCTAGAATATACACAGGGGGCAGGCTCTGCTCCTCTTCTTCATTCTCTTTTCTCACTCTCCTGCAACCTTTTCCCCTCCTTTCTCATCCTCATTTTCCCTTCCTTCCTTCTACTCCTCCTCTCTCCCCTCCCTCCTCCCGCCCCCCTCCCTCCTCCTCACTCCACCTCCCTCCTCCATCCTCCCCTCTTCAGAGCAAGATCCCTCCAGTACCCATCTGTTAGACTGGCTCCAGTACCCATCTGCTAGACTGGCTGCAGTGCCTCACAGTCTAATTCTACCGCCAGTGTGCTCCGCCCCTCTCCTCCCTTCTCTTTCCTCACTTTCCTCTCCCTTCCCCTCCCTTATTCCTCCCCACTGCAGATCACGATCCCTCCAGGACCCATATCCTAGGCTGGCTGCCCATCCTCCTGCAGTGGCTCACGGTCTACTTCCACCGCCAGTGCGCGCTGCTCCTCTTCTTCCTCGTCATCCTCGTGGTGCTCTCCTGCTTCCTCCTCTACCACCTCTACCTCGTCGCCACCAACGTCACCACCAATGAGGTGATTCTCCCACCCCCTTCCCCCTTCCCCACCTGCTGTTTAATCATTCTTGTCATTCTCCTCGTCCTCTCCTGCCTCCTCCTCTACCACCTCCACCTCGTCGCCACCAACGAGGTGCGTATGCAGTTGCTTTCCTGTCACTTCGATGCTCACACACTCCCTGAAAATATATTTCGTTCACCCTGTTTTTTCTTCTCTCCTGCTTCCTCCTCTACCACCTCCACCTCTTTATCACCAACGAGGTACTCTCCCCCTCCTCTCTTTTCGCTCTCGTTCATTAACAACCAACTTGACCTGCTTGATTCATCAACACTACGTGACCTGCTTGATTCAGCAACACTACGTGACCTGCTTGATTCAGCAACACTACCGCCCTCATTCCTCTCCTCTCCTGCTTCCCCCTCTACCACCTCCAACTTGTCATCTTCTTTTAACCGCATTTCATCCCTTCTGCTACCTTCACCTATTTTCACCGCTTCTCACCACTCCAGACGTACAAGTGGGCTGACTACCGGCGGTGGGTGTCCCACGAAGCTTCTAGGATGCTGCAGCAGAAGCAACGGGACGAGGGGGAGGAGAGGAGGAAAGGAGGAGTAGAGAACGGTGAGGGGGAGAAGAAGGGGGTAAGCTCAGCACACACAACGAGGGTGATGAAACACGAGGAAGAGAGGATGGAAGGGACAGTAGGGAGGAAGACTGAGGGGGAGAAGAGGGAAGAGGGGGAGAAGAGGGAAGAGGGGGAGAAGGAAGCGGGGGAGGGGATGGTAGTGAAGGAAGTTGAGAGGCGTGAGACAGAGCGGGAAAGGAAGGCGAGCAATACTGGCGTGAAGGCAAGAAATGATGGAGAAGCAGGGACGGCCGAAGCAACAGCGGTCTCAGCAGCTACAGCAACCGCAGCAACACCACCACTACCAACAGAAGCAGCACCAGCAGCAGTGCCGCGTGTGTCGAGCAAAGGAGAGAAGCCGGCGAAACGAGGAAGGGAAGGAACGGGAGCCAAAACGAAGCAGCAGGCAATCGGAATTGATTTTTCGAGGTTGCGAGTGCGTCAGTACGGTGCTGGGTGGTTCTCTGGCCTGTGGTCGATGGTTTTTGGCGGAGCAGGAGGAGGAGGCGAGCGTATTCAAAGAATTTGGGTTGATCCTGCTAGTGTTCCTGTAGAGAATGTGTATAATAGAGGGATGGTTAATAACATAATGGAAGTGTTAGCACCTGGGAGGGTTGATGGTGTTCGGCGAAAAAGGTTAGGCGTGAGAGGTAGTGGTGAAAGTGGAGATGAGAGAGGGGTAGATAGACGAGGTGGTCAAACTCTAAGACGCAGGAAAAAACTAGAGTGACATGTCCGAATGATGGAGTTTTTGTGAAATAGAATCTTCATGCAACGGTTGAGCCTCCTTACTACGTTGTCATATCGTGTTACGGTATGAGTGCAAGCGTGCGTGAGAGTGCTCTACACAGGTGTAGTTTGATGTGCCCAAATAGCATTCCTGAAGTCAAACTGTCACAATGACGCAAAGCAGGTATCCAGTGGAGACAGAGGGAGGCAAGTCAAGCAATGTTTTGACAGACTTGTGTCACTATTTTGCCTGCTGGCTTTAAAAAGCAGCATCTGCCAATCATAGACCCTTTGGCCAACCACAGTACAAAAAAATGTTATGGAAAAACATTGTTACAAGAGAGAAACCTGACTAGAGTTTGCTGGATGCATGTTTGATGAACACCAGTAGCTTGAAACACAAATCAAGATCTGAATCATAGGGCCTCAGTTATCAGGATAATTTATCCTGATTCTCCTGAATTCAGGATAGGTGTTGTGTGCTAGTCCTGGAAAAACAGCATACCGTATCACCCCGGATAAAAGCGCAGGTGCGCTTATAATAAAACAGTGTTTTTTAGGGGGGTGCGCTTGTAATTGAGTCATTTGTATAAGCGCATGCGCTTATATTATGACATTGAATTGTAATTTTAAGACACCAAATTGTATATTTCACTCTTGCCATTTCAACCGAGTCGTTTTTTTTTTCCCGTCACAAAGCAGAATCGCATGCAAGCGATTCTGTTCCAGCACAGAGGGGCCAAGATGCGACACTTTGCAGTCATGCCAGCACATCCTGACTGGACGCGCAGCCAGTCAGGTCTTCGAGAGTCAAGCTAGGCGAAAATGAGATTGTACTCGCTTCGAAATTGAAACTCGCTAAAGTTTTAAACAGAGATTTTGATTTAAAATTGTACATGCGCTTATAAAAAGTAATGTTTTCACAGGGGGTGCGCTTATAATTGAGGATCGGCCATAAGTGAGAAGAAACAAGGAATGAATGAACTATGAATGAATTGAGTACAAGTAATAACCCTAATTGGGTTGTACCCCTTATGGGCTACCCCACTATAGCCTACACAATATGCATGAGCTATAATGTTCTGACACACCCCCATAGGCAAAGTGGGGGAGAACAAGGGGTCACAAGACCAGTCAAGTAAAGCAAAGCAAAGCAAGCTCAGGGTGGATCACAAAGTCACCACACATTCCGAGCACAAGTTCAAGGCCACAAGGCCAGTTCACATGCAGGAGTACATATATATAAAAATGCTAGACAAGCAAGAGCAGGTATATATATATGTAACAGTACAAGCACGGTCAAGAGGTGAGCAAGTGAGGCAAGGTAGGCACAAGGCCCAGCTGAGTACAGAAGCGCTGATGGTCACAAGGCGCAAGCGCCTTGGTGAAGATATCAGCAGTGTTGGCCTCAGAGGCCACGTACGCAAGACGCAGCTGACCACGCTGCTGCAGCTCACGAGCAAGAAAGTAGCGGAGAGCAATGTGCTTCGTTCTGTGCTCCAGTCGCTGCTCCCGACACAAGGCCAGCATGGCCTTGTTGTCTACGTACAGCACTGGAGGAGAACGAGGCGGCTCTCCGAGGTCAGTCAGCAGGTAGGTGAGCCAGCGAAGCTCCTGTGCAGCCATGGCCCCTGCGTAGATCTCAGCCTCACAACTGGAGCCGAGAACAGAAGACGAGCGAGTAGCCCGCCACGAAACAGAGCCGGAACCAAGGCTGAAGGTGTAACCCTGTGACGACCGCTGCGTAGCCTGGTCGTCAGCCCAAGAAGCGTCTGCGTGCCCAGTAAGGACCACTGGACTCTGCCCTCCAAGCACAAGCCCCATGCCCGACGTACTGCACAAGTAGCGCAACACCCTCTTCGCTGCAGCCATGTGCTCCGGTCTGTGTCTCCCAGGAGCAACATAGCGTGCGAGAATGCTAAGAGGGTATGCAAGGTCAGGTCGTGTGCAGGTCATCAGGTACATGAGGCAACCAACAAGCTCTGGGTACGGGCCACTCGACTCTACGGACTCATCCGAAGGCAGAGCTGAGAGCGAGTGGCGAGTAGGCAGAGGAGTGGCCTGAGGCGAGGAGTACGTGAAGCCGAAGCGCTGAAGGACCTGCTGCACCATGTGTGACTGAGTCAGGGTAATGGTGCGGCGTGCTCTGTCCCGAGTGATCTGCAAGCCAAGGTAGCTGCGCAGTTCACCCAGGTCAGTGCACGTGTGTCTCTTCTGCAGCTCGGACTTCACGTGGGCGAGTCCAGCAGTGTCAGCTGTGGCAAAGACCAAGTCGTCGACGTACACGAGGATGTAGAACGGCGGCAAAGAAGTGTCGGTGCGCAGAAACAGCGACGGGTCGGCAGTAGAGGGAGCAAACCCAAGAGCCGCAAGTGTAGTCCTCAGTGTGTCGTGCCACTCACGCGGTGCCTGGCGGAGACCGTAGACTGGCCGCCGTAGGCTCCACTGGGTGCCAGGAGGAAAAGACCCAGTGAAACCAGGTGGGCGACGCAGCCAGATCTCCTCGTGCAGGCTGCCCTGCAAGAAAGCAGTGCTGAAGTCAAGAGAGTGTAGCTCGTAGTCACGGTGAGCAGCTACGTGCAGCAGTACCCGAAGAGTGGTCATCTTCGGGGTGGGAGAGAAGGTCTGAAAGTAGTCAACTCCCTGCCGCTGACTGAAGCCTCTAGCCACGTAACGCGCCTTGAAGACAGGCGGAGAACCCGGCGGCCGCTTCACCCTGAAAATCCACATGCCACTGACGATGTTCGCCCCAGGAGGGGGAACAGCGTCAACGTAGGTGCCTGTGGACTTCCAGGAAGCCATCTCCGCGTCCATAGCTGCCTGCCACTGAGAGGAGTAGGGACCCTCTATCGCCTCCGCGTAAGAGCGCGGAGTCGGGATGTCAAGTGCATCCGGGTCTCCCTCAGGGGTAAGCAGTACGGACACGAGATGAGGTGAAGCAGCGGCCAAGCACTGGAACTCCTCCTGCCTGTCCTCAAGGACGTCCGTGCCAAGGGCACACTCACCCCCGACGGACGGAGGACAGACAGACTCAGACTCAGCAACAAGACTGGCGACGTAGTCTAGGCGACAGCGAGCAGCAAAGTCGACGAGCTCAGCAACTAGGGCAGACGCAGCAGTGGACTCAAAGGAAGGGTCAGTGACAACAGTAGCAAGGAGACGCGTGACAGTAGGACTGGCAGCACGAAGAGAGTCCGACTCCGGGTCGGCAAGAGCAGGAAGAGAAGACTCAGGAGGAGAAGGCAAAGGGGCACGCAGAGCAGCAGTGGACGGACGCAGAGACATCCGGTGCGTGCCAGGGACAGGAGGAGGACGCTGACGCGAACCGCGACCACTAGTGCGAGCAGCACGGACAGGCGACGTAGGGCGAGACGCAGGCTCACGACGCTCAGCAAGACCTCCAGTAGGACCAGTGTAGGGAGACGGAGCAGGCAGTGGGGAGGCCGGCTGTAACTGTAACTGCGACAGGACAGGCTGTGGACACTCTAAGGGAGGAGGAGGACCAGTAGAAGACGGGAGACCAAGAACCTGCTGAAGGAGCGGAACGAAGTACGGCCGAGGCCGCGCGGCGACTCCAGACACAGCAGGGACAGCACCAGCACCCCCTGTGGCAGCACCAGCACCAGTAGCAGCTCCAGCTCCAGTACCCCCAGCAGCACCAGCAGTACCCCCAGCAGGACCGCCTCCAGGACCGACAGCAGTAGCCTCCGCGCCAACACCCGCAGCAGCTCCAGCTTCAGAAGTACCCGCAGGTCCAGCAGCTCCAGTACGCCCAGTACGAGCACCTCCGGGACCCGTGGCACCAGCTCCCTCAGCAGCAACAGAAACTCCAGTACCCGCAGCTCCTCCAGCTCCAGCAGCTCGCCTCCAGCGCCGGGCAAACCACTCACGCAGCTCCTGTGGAGAGAGTGGCTCCCGGCGAGAAGAAGCACCCGGAGAACCGCCAGGCACAGCACCAGTAGGCCCAGCTCCCTCAGGCTCCGCACCCCCAGGCTCAGCACCTCCAGGCGTAGCACCCCCAGGCTCAGCACCCCCAGACGCAGCACCCTCAGGCGTAGCACCCCTAGACTCAGCACCCCCAGGCTCAGCACCCCCAGTCGTAGTACCCTCAGGCTCAGCACCCCCAGGCGTAGCACCCACACGCTCAGCACCCCCAGAGTCAGCACTCCCAGGCTCAGCACCCTCAGCAGCACCAGAGTCACCAGCGACCTCGACAGGCTCAACAGCGTCTACCTGGGACACACCTGAAGGGGCAGGACCCTGAGGGGGGAGGGGGTCTACCGGGGGGGGACCTGGTACCAGGAAGAGCGGTGGCGGGGGGAGGGACGGAGTGCGGTAGGGGAAGAGGCGGTAGTAGGGGACCGACTCGTCGAACGTGACGTCCTGGGAGGACAGAACACGGCGAGAGGTGGGGTGGTAGAACTGCCACCCTGGGGCGTCAGGGGGGAAACCCAGGAAGACGCAAGGAGCAGCACGAGGGGACAGCTTGTCCGCAGACAAGTCGCGGACAAACGCCCGAGATCCCCAGACACGGAACGCAGACGCATCGCCAACCTTCCCCGTCCACAGCAAGGCTGGGGAGGTCTCCGGCATGGAGACCCTGGGCTGAAGGTTGATCTGATGCGCCGCGTACCGAACCGCAAACGGCCACAGAAAATGGGGGGCAGCCGCATGCATCATGGACGTACGGGCGACGTCCATGACCATGCCAATGCGGCGCTCAGCAATCCCATTTTGCTGTGGAGAGTCCGGAAGCGTGAAGGTCTGGCGGATGCCTCGTGCACGACAGTAGGCTCGCAGAAGGCCAGAGGAGAACTCTCCTCCT